ATTGAACTAGAACTGAACTAGAACTGAACTAGAACTGAACTAGAACTGAACTAGAACTGAACTAGAACTGAACTAGAACTGAACTAGAACTGAACTAGAACTGAACTAGAACTGAACTAGAACTGAACTAGAACTGAACTAGAACTGAACTAGAACTGAACTAGAACTGAACTAGAACTGAACTAGAACTGAACTAGAACTGAACTAGAACTGAACTAGAACTGAACTAGAACTGAACTAGAACTGAACTAGAACTGAACTAGAACTGAACTAGAACTGAACTAGAACTGAACTAGAACTGAACTAGAACTAGAACTGAACTAGAACTGAATAGAACTGAACTAGAACTGAACTAGAACTGAATAGAACTGAACTAGAACTGAACTAGAACTGAACTAGAACTGAACTAGAACTGAACTAGAACTGAACTAGAACTGAACTAGAACTGAACTAGAACTGAACTAGAACTGAACTAGAACTGAACTAGAACTGAACTAGAACTGAACTAGAACTGAACTAGAACTGAACTAGAACTGAACTAGAACTGAACTAGAACTGAATAGAAACTGAATAGAACTGAACTAGAACTGAACTAGAACTGAACTAGAACTGAACTAGAATGAACTAGAACTGAACTAGAACTGAACTAGAACTGAACTAGAACTGAACTAGAACTGAACTAGAACTGAACTAGAACTGAACTAGAACTGACTAGAACTGAACTAGAACTGAACTAGAACTGGAAAGTAGAACCTGAACTAGAAACTGAACTAGAACTGAGACTAGAACTGAACTAGAACTGAACCAGACTGAACTAGCAACTGAACTAGAACTGAACTAGAACTGAACCTAGAATGACTAGAACGAATAGAACTGAACTAGAACTTTAACTAGGAACTGAACTGAAACTGAACTAGAACTAGAACTAGAACTAGAAACTGAATAGAACTGAAACTAGAACTGAACTAGAACTGGACTAGAACTGAACTAGAACTGAACTAAGACTGACCTAGCACTGAACTAGACTGAACTAGAATGGAACTAGAACTGAATTAGAACTGAACTAGAACTGCACTAGAACTGAACCTAGAACTGAACTAGAACTGAACTAGAACTGAACTAGAACTGAACTAGAACTGAACTAGAACTGAACTAGAACTGAACTAGAACTGAACTAGAACTGAACTAGAACTGAACTAGAACTGAACTAGAACTGAACTAAACTGAACTAGAACTGAACTAGAACTGAATAGAACTGAACTAGAACTGAACTAGAACTGAACTAGAACTGAACTAGAACTGAACTAGAACTGAACTAGAACTGAACTAGAACTGAACTAGAACTGAACTAAACTGAACTAGCTGAATAGAACTGAACTAGAACTGAACTAGAACTGAACTAGAACTGAACTAGAACTGAACTAGAACTGAACTAGAACTGAACTAGAACTGAACTAGAACTGAACTAGAACTGAACTAGAACTGAACTAGAACTGAACTAGAACTGAACTAGAACTGAACTAGAACTGAACTAGAACTGAACTAGAACTGAACTAGAACTGAACTAGAACTGAACTAGAACTGAACTAGAACTGAACTAGAACTGAACTAGAACTGAACTAGAACTGAACTAAACTGAACTAAACTGAACTAGAACTGAACTAGAACTGAACTAGAACTGAACTAACGAAAACTGAACTAGAACTGAACTAGAACTGAACTAGAACTGAACTAGAACTGAACTAGAACTGAACTAGAACTGAACTAGAACTGAACTAGAACTAAACTAGAACTGAACTAGATTTGAACTAGAACTGAAATAGGACTGAATTAGAACTGAACTAGAACTAAACTCTAACTAAACTAGAACAGAACTAGATCTGAGCTAGATCTAGTACTACATAGTTTTAAACCGGAAATTAAACGGAATAACTGGTTCCTCGTATTTTATACGTACATAGTTGCAGCCACCTACTTTTTTATTTAACCCAAATATTTAAAATTCCTTTTTAGTTGCTTAATAAACTTCTTATTTATCATACATTATTATTATATTTTTTTTAGTTTTTTTAAGGCAGTTGAAAAACAACTGAACTGGTAAAAAAGAAACAAATAATAAATTAAATTTTTTAGTTTGTTGCGCGTAAATAAACAGGAAACAAAAAGTTTTGTGTAGCATGTTGTTGAAAAGCTACACAAAAAAGTACAAGACAACACTAGACAACAAAATATGCAAAAAAAAAATAAAGTGAAACTTAAGAATTGTATTAAAATTTATTGAGATATGCACTAAGTTGTCGACGTACTGCATCAAATAAAAAGCTAAACTGAACTATGGAAACTGTTGTCTCTAACAATGAAAATGCGAGTAAATATGCAATTTCCTTAATGCAATGTAATGAATGAATAGATAGACGAATGAAAGAATGAATGAAAGAATGAATGACTGAAAGACAGACAGACGGACGGACGATATAGTAGAGGAATAAATGCATAAATTTAAACTTTGCTTTCCTTTCTAAAAGATACTATAGCACTTAACGAGTTAAAAAGTATAGAATAAAACAAAATAATGATGTTTACAATGAAAATCATGTTCATGATGATAATGATAATATTGTTGCTTTTGCTGTTAAGGACTTTGTTGTAAAAGTTTTCCTTCATTTCTTTATTGTTTTGTTTGAAAGAAAAATATACCATTAAACATTGAAAACAGGAAACAGTAATAAACTTAAAATAAAAATTCTACACAAATAAACGAAAGGAAAATTTTACTTAAAATTAAAACTAAAAAAAAAACAAGAAAGAAAAGAACGAACAAAAAGCATTCTTTAAGTTTTAATGTAATACAAAATTGTGTATTCTTTCGCCATAGATTTCTTAATCAATTCTTCATCTCACTCAAAATTCAAAGCAAATTGTGTTCACATTTGTTTTTTAAATCCCTAAACAAGTCTGAACAAGTTTGCATACAGTTTTCTCTTTTTTTTTTAATGGTCAGCTAGTCCTTGTGTATGCTTAAGACCCAGTGCTGTAGTTTCTCCTATTCCCTGGTGTCTTTCAAAATCCCTACACTTGTGCAAACACTTTCTGACGTTGTCACATACTCAGTCACTCTTACACTTAGTGTTGCATGGATAATGTGTTAAATGAACTGAAAAACTTACAATTGTATTAAAAGTTGAAACATTTTTCTTTTTGTTTGCTTCTTTCTCTCTGTCTGTCGTCATTTCCATTCGTTCAGTTTTATTTGCATTTGTTCTATTTACTTGGCGATTTTTCATTACATTTTTCTGTCAGCTTGAAGATAAAAGGAATAAAACAAATCTATAATATTGAATTTAAACAAATGAGTTAAAGTTAAGCACAAATGAGATGAGCAAAAGTTTGACCTGAAAGTTTTTTAAAGGCAGTGCAAAAAATTCAACAAAAAATGACAGACAAAACGAATTGAACAAAGAAATAAATGTACAGTACTTCAGTACAGTAGGAGTGACCTCGATCTAAAGTGGAGCAGAATGAACACTCAACGGGAACGGAATAAAAGCTGAATAAAAGCGAAACTGGACTAGATCAGCGCAAGAATAAAACTACTTAGAACAGATCTAGAGCAGAATTTGGACAGAACTAGGACAGAACATGAACAGAACTAGAACAGATCTAGAACAAGAACAGAACATGAACAGAACTTGAACAGAACTAGAACAGAACTAGAACAGAACTAGAACAGAACTAGAACAGAACTAGAACAGAACTAGAACAGAACTAGAACAGAACTAGAACAGAACTAGAACAGAACTAGAACAGAACGAGAACAGAACTAGAACAGAACTAGAACAGAACTAGAACAGAACTAGAACAGAACTAGAACAGAACTAGAACAGAACTAGAACAGAACTAGAACAGAACTAGAACAGAACTAGAACAGAACTAGAACAGAACTAGAACAGAACTAGAACAGAACTAGAATAGAACTAGAACAGAACTAGAACAGAACTAGAACAGAACTAGAACAGAACTAGAACAAGAACATAACTGGAACAGAACTAGAACAGAACTAGAAAAGAACTAGAACAGAACTAGAACAGAACTAGAACAGAACTAGAACAGAACTAGAACAGAACTAGAACAGAACTAGAGCAGAACTAGAACAAGAACATAACTGGAACAGAACTAGAACACAACTAGAAAAGAACTAGAAAAGAACTAGAACAGAACTAAAACAGAACTAGAACAGAACTAGAACAGAACTAGAACAGAATTAGAACAGAACTAGAACAGAACTAGAACAGATCTAGAACAGAACTAGAACAGAACTAGAACAGAACTAGAACAGAACTAGAACAGAACTAGAACAGAACTAGAACAGAACTAGAACAGAACTAGAACAGAACTAGAACACAACTAGAACACAACTAGAACACAACTAGAACAGAACTAGAACAGAACTAGAACACAACTAGAACAGAACTAGAATACAACTAGAACACAACTAGAACAAGAACAGAACTGGAACAGAACTAGAACAGAACCAGAACAGCACTAGAACAGGACTAGAAGAGAACTAGAACAGAACTAGAACAGAACTAGAACAGCACTAGAACAGAACTAGAATATAACTAGAACGGAAGTAGAACAGAACTAGAACGGAACTAGAACAGAACATAATTGGAACAGAACTAGATTAGAACTAGATCAGAACTAGATCAGAACTAGAACAGAACTAGAACAGAACTAGAACAGAACTAGAATAGAACTAGAACAGAACTAGAACAGAACTAGAACAGAACTAGAACTAGAACAGAACTAGAACAGAACTAGAACAGAACTAGAACAGAACTAGAACAGAACTAGAACAGAACTAGAACAAGAACATAACTGGAACAGAACTAGAACAGAACTAGAACAGAACTAGAACAGAACTAGAACAGAACTAGAACAGAACTAGAACAGAACTAGAACAGAACTAGAACACAACTAGAACACAACTAGAACACAACTAGAACACAACTAGAACACAACTAGAACACAACTAGAACAGAACTAGAACAGAACTAGAATACAACTAGAACAAAACTAGAACACAACTAGAACAAGAACATAACTATAACAGAACTAGAACAGAACTAGAACAGAACTAGAACAGAACTAGAACAGAACTAGAACACAACTAGAACACAACTAGAACACAACTAGAACAGAACTAGAACAGAACTAGAACTAGAAAGAACTAGAACAGAACTAGAACAGAACTAGAACAGAACTAGAACAGAACTAGAATAGAACTAGAACAGAACTAGAACAGAACTAGAACACACCTAGAACAGAACTAGAATACAACTAGAACAGAACTAGAACAAAACTAGAACACAACTAGAACACAACTAGAACAAGAACATAACTGGAACAGAACTAGAACAGAACCAGAACTGAACCAGAACAGAACCAGAATAGAACTAGAATAGAATTAGAGCAGAACTAGAACAGAACTAGAACAAAACAGAGCTAGATCTACACTAGAAATAAACAAGAACTAGATCTACACTAGAAATAAACAAGAACTAGATCTACACTAGAAATAAACAAGAGCTAGATCTAAACTAGAACTGAACTAAAACTATAACAAAGGTAGAATTGAACTGGAACTACAACTGTATTAGAACTGAACTAGTACAGAGTGAGAACTGTACTAGAACTGAACTAGTACCGAAATGGAACTAATCTGGAACTGAACTAGAACTCAACTTGATCCAAATTTGGATTAAAACATAATTGTAATAGAACTGAACCAGAACTAAACTAGAATTGAACTGAACTAAAACTGAGCTAGAACTGAACTAGAACTGAGCTAGAACTGAACTGGAACAGAACTATAACTGAACTAGAAATGAAAATTAACAAAACTAGATTAGAAGTAGAAATGAATTGGAATTGAACTAGAACTTGTTAGAAATGAAACGGAATTAATTCGTTACTGCTTTATATGTACATATATGTAAGATCTCTATCATTTATTTATCTTTGTTGCTGATGTCAAGCAGTTAGTACACATACAGGAATGAAAGCTCTCAAAACTTTTATTAAATACATTTGAATATACTTTATCAAAGCAATTGATAATATGGATATTTTAATTTAATTTATGCCATAAATTATAAAACATCTACATAAATGCACTTTAGAAATATTTACTATTTGAATAATAAATACATTGCATTACATTACAAGACATTGCAAATATACCTTACTTTATCCAACTGCCTCCCAACACTACCATTATATAGCAAAAACACACACTTAAAAGAGAAACATGAAAAAGGAATAAATTGTAAACCTTGTATATGTACAACACAACAACAAGGAATATTGTAACAGCAAACACCTCCTAAAGGATCTTATCTATTGTGTATAATATATATTTATTCCTTAAGGTATCTTTATTCTAATGGCTAGAAAAACAGCAACAACAAGAATAAAAGTAAAAATACATTTTGATATTTATACCTTTTACCACCTTGACAACAGGTATAAACATTTATCACAATCCAAATGCACCATAAACACCAGACGTCGTAGCCAAATTGTGGATGCACTTTATCAAACAAAAAAAATGCTTTTTTTAAGAAATATTATTCATTGGTGAAAATGATGTACAATAAAATGAAATTGCCCCAGATTCATACAACTACAGCATATTTTTCAAATGGACATGGAGCTTATGGAAAAGCTTAAACTGGGAATATATTATAGAAATAAAATGAATATAAATTAGAATATGAACTAAAAATTTGAATTGTTGTTGTTATTTTGTTTTGCACATGTACTATTCTAGTTGACTTAAACTTGTGTTTTGAATTATTTCAAGAAATGGTAGACATAGTAGTTCTAGTTCAATTCCAGTTCAGTTTTAGTTCTGTTCTCGTTCTGTTTAGTTCTGCTCTAGTTATGTTCTAGTTCTGTTCTGCTCTAGTTCTGTTCTGTTCTAGTTCTGTTCTAGTTCTGTTCTAGTTCTGTTCTAGTTCTGTTCTAGTTCTGTTCTAGTTCTGTTCTAGTTCTGTTCTAGTTCTGCTCTAGTTCTGTTCTAGTTCTGTTCTAGTTCAGTTCTACTGCAGTTCTAGTTCAGTTCTAGTTCAGTTCTAGTTCTGCTCTAGTTCAGTTCTAGTTCTAGTTTAGTTCTAGTTCAGTTCTAGTTCAGTTCTAGTTCAGTTCTAGTTCAGTTCTAGTTCAGTTCTAGTTCAGTTCTAGTTCAGTTCTAGTTCAGTTCTAGTTCAGTTCTAGTTCTTTTCTAGTTCTGTTCTTGTTCAGTTTCTATGTCAGTACTAGTTCACTCCTGGTTCAATTCTAGTTTAGTTCTGGCACGGTTCTAGTTCTGTTTTAGATATGTTCTAGTTATGTTCTAGTTCTATTTAGTTCTGTTCTAGTTCTGTTCTATTTCTGTTTTATTTCTGTTCTAGTTCTGTTCTAGTTCTGTTCTAGTTCTGTTCTAGTTCTGTTCTAGTTCTGTTCTAGTTCTGTTCTAGTTCTTTTCCAGTTCTTTTCTAGTTCTGTTCTAGTTCAGTTCTAGTTCTGTTTTATTTCCATTCTAGTTCTGTTCTAGTTCTGTTCCAGTTCTTTTCTAGTTCTTTTCTAGTTTTGTTCTGGTTCTGTTCTAGTTCTGTTCTAGTTCTGTTCTAGTTCTGTTCTAGTTCTGTTCTAGTTCTGTTCTAGTTCTGTTCTAGTTCTGTTCTAGTTCTGTTCTAGTTCTGTAGTTCTGTTCTAGTTGTTCTAGTTCTGTTCTAGTTCTGTTCTAGTTCTGTTCTAGTTCTGTTCTAGTTCTGTTCTAGTTCTGTTCTAGTTCTGTTCTAGTTCTGTTCTAGTTCTGTTCTAGTTCTGTTCTAGTTCTGTTCATAGTTCTGTTCTAGTTCTGTTCTAGTTCTGTTTCTATTCTGTTCTAGTTCTGTTCTAGTTCTGTTTAGGTTCTGTTCTAGTTCTGTTCTAGTTCTGTTCTAGTTCAGTTCTAGTTCGTCTAGTTCTGTTCTAGTTCTGTTCTAGTTCTGTTCTAGTTCTGTTTCTAGTTCTGTTCTAGTTGTTCTAGTTCTGTTTCTAGTTCTGTTCTAGTTCTGTTCTAGTTCTGTTCTAGTTCTGTTCTAGTTCTGTTCTGGTTCTGTTCTAGTTCTGTTCTAGTTCTGTTCTAGTTCTGTTCTAGTTCTGTTCTAGTCTGTTCTGTTCTGTCTAGTTCTGTTCTAGTTCTGGTCTAGTTCTGTTCTAGTTCTGTTCTGTTCTGTTCTAGTTTCTGTTCTAGTTCTATTCTAGCTCTGTTCTACTTCTATTCTAGTCCTGTTCTAGTTCTCTTCTAGTTCTGTTCTAGTTCTGTTCTAGTTCTGTTCTAGTTCTAGTTCTGTTCTAGTTCTGTTCTAGTTCTGTTCTAGTTCTGTTCTAGTTCTGTTCTTGTTCTGTTCTGTTCTGTTCTGTTCTAGTTCTGTTCTAGTTCTGTTCTAGTTCTGTTCTAGTTCTGTTCTAGTTTCTGTTCTAGTTCTGTTCTAGTTCTGTTCTGTTCTAGTTCTGTTCTAGTTCTGTTCTGTTCTGTTCTGTTGTTCTGTTCTAGTCCGTTCTAGTTCTGCTCTAGTTCTGATCTAGTTCTGTTCTAGTTCTGTTCTAGTTCTGTTCTAGTTTCTGTTCTAGTTCTGTTCTAGTTCTGGTCTAGTTCTGTTCTCTTCTCTTCTAGTTCTGTTCTAGTTCTGTTCTAGTTCTGTTCTCTTCTCTTCTAGTTCTGTTCCAGTTCTAATTCTAGTTAAAAAACAAAATTATTAATAATAGCAGAGTAAATAATCTTAATCACAAACAAACCGCAACAAAAAAAGAAATTAATATTTAAAAAACAATTGCTCAAGCTTTTAAATCACCTCATCAAAATATTTATTAAAAAAATATAAATAAAATTCCAATGAACACTAATTATTTGTAATAATTTCTGGCCATGCTTCACTTCATAAAATTTATCGGATTATTTTTACTAATTTGCACACAATGTATAAATTTAATTTCAACAAAACCTTCACGATCATATATAAAAATAACAAAATTTGTGTGTGAAACCGTCGATACAAGTTTCATAGAATTTCCGATTTGTGATTTGAGTCGAATTAGAGGAAATGTTATGGCGCTGAATATGTACGGAAAATTAAATATGAAAAATGTGGAAAATATAACGGTAAATATAAAATATGCTTAGAAGTATTGTGACATTAAATTTTTTATCTTTTCTTTCAAGATTATTGCCAAACTTTTTCGCAAAACCAATAATAAATTTCGTCCATTTTTGTATGATGATGTTATTGATTATTGTGATTTTCATCTTAATGCTAAACGTCATGTTTTCTGGAATTTATTGTATAGAAATTTGGGCAAATTTTCCAATATGAATCATTCGTGTCCCTATAATGTAATTATATATTGTTTAATGTTTTGGAATATATTGTTTAAATTTTTTTTTATTTTTCTAGCACGATTTGATTATACGAAATTTAACATTTGATATCAGTAATCTAAAAGTTGTACCAATACCTCGTGGTGAATACATGATACAATATAAATATGTGGTCTGGTCCATTTATCGTTGTCAGTTAATGGCTTATGCTACTCGTTCCTGAAGTAAATTGTATATACAAAATAAAATAAAATATTTATAATCTGAAAATGAGGATTCGTTAATATAAAGCGATAAGAATTCTTGCCCAGATAGTTTTGTTTTTCTTAACTCAGTTCAAGTTTAGTTCTATTTATGTTCTAGTTTAGTTCTAGTTCAGTTCAGTTCTGGTTCAGTTCTAGTTCAGTTCTAGTTCAGTTCTAGTTCAGTTCTAGTTCAGTTCTAGTTCAGTTCTAGTTCAGTTCTAGTTCAGTTCTAGTTCAGTTCTAGTTCAGTTCTAGTTCAGTTCTAGTTCAGTTCTAGTTCAGTTCTAGTTCTGTTCTAGTTCTGTTCTAGTTCAGTTCTAGTTCAGTTCTAGTTCAGTTCTAGTTCAGTTCTAGTTCAGTTCTAGTTCAGTTCTAGTTCAGTTCTAGTTCAGTTCTAGTTCAGTTCTAGTTCAGTTCTAGTTCAGTTCTAGTTCAGTTCTAGTTCAGTTCTAGTTCAGTTCTAGTTCAGTTCTAGTTCAGTTCTAGTTCAGTTCTAACTCAGTTCTAGTTCAGTTCTAGTTCAGTTCTAGTTCAGTTTTGTTCTAGTTAAGTTCTGTTCTAGTTCTGTTCTAGTTCAGTTGTGTTCAAGGCCAGTCCTGTTCTAATTCAGTTCTAGTTTAGTTATAGTTCTAGTTCAGTTCTGGTTCAGTTCTAGTTCAGATCTAGTTCAGTTCTAGTTCAGTTCTAGTTTAGTTCTAGTTCAGTTCTAGTACAGCTCTAGTTCAGTTCTAGTTCAATTCTAGTTCAGTTCTAGTTCAGTTCTAGTTTAGTTCTAGTTCAGTTCTAGTTCAGTTCTGGTTCAGTTCTAGTTCAGATTTAGTTCAGTACTAGTTCAGTTCTAGTTCAGTTCTAGTTTAGTTCCAGTTCAGTTCTAGTTCAGTTCTGGTTCAGTTCTAGTTCAGATCTAGTTCAGCACTAGTTCAGATCTAGTTCAGTCCTAGTTCAGTTCTAGTTCAGTTCTAGTTCAGTTCTAGTTCAGTTCTAGTTCAGTTCTAGTTCAGTTCTAGTTCAGTTCTAGTTCAGTTCCAGTTCTAGTTCTAGTTCAGTACTAGTTCAGTTCTAGTTCAGTTCTAGTTCAGTTCTAGTTCAATTCTAGATCAGTTCTAGTTTCGTACTAGTTCAGTTCTGGTTCAGTTCAGTTCTGGTTAAGTTCTAGTTCAGTTCCAGTTCAGTTCTAGTTCAGTTGTAGTTCAATTCTTATTCAATTTTAGTTTAGTTTTAGTTTGGTTCAATTCTAGATCAGTTCTAGTTTAGTTCAGTTCTGGTTTAGTTGTAGTTCAGTTCTAGTTCAGTTCCAGTTCAGTTTTAGTTCAGTTGTAGTTCAATTCTTATACAATTTTAGTTAAGTTTTAGTTTGGTTCTAGTTCAGTTCTAGTTCAGTCCTAATTCAGTTCTAGTTCAGTTCTAGTTCAGTTCTAGTTCAGTTCTAGTTCAGTTCTAGTTCAGTTCTAGTTCAGTTCTAGTTCAGTTCTAGTTCAGTTCTAGTTCAGTTCAGTTCTAGTTCAGTTCTAGTTCAGTTCTAGTTCAATTCTAGTTCAGTTCAGCTCTAGTTCAGTTCTAGTTCAGTTCTAGTTCAGTCCTAGTTCAGTTCTTGTTCAGTTCTAGTTCAGTTCAAGTTCAGTTCTAGTTCAGTTCTAGTTCAGTTCTAGTAGAGTTCTAGTTCAGTTCTAGTTCAGTTCTAGTTCAGTTCTAGTAGAGTTCTAGTTCAGTTCTAGTTCAGTTCTAGTTCAGTTCTAATTCAGTTCCAGTTCAGTTCTAGTTCAGTTCTAGTTCAGTTTTCGTTAAGTTTTAGTTCTAGTTCAGTTCTAATCCAATTCTACTTCGGTTCTAGATAAGTTCTTACTCAATTCTAGTTCAGTTATAGTACAGTTCTAGTTTATTTCTTGTTCAGTTCCAGTTTAGTTCTAGTACAGTTCTAGTTCAGTTCTACTACAGTTCTAGTTCAGTTCAGTTCTAGTTCTGTTCTAGTTCTTTTCTATTTCTGTTCTATTTCTGTTCTAGTTCTGTTCTAGGTCTGTTCTAGTTCTGTTCTAGTTCTGTTTCTAGTTCTGTTCTAGTTTCTGTTCTAGTTCTGTTCTAGTTCTGTTCTAGTTCTGTTCTAGTTCTGTTCTAGTTCTGTTCTAGTTCTGTTCTAGTTCTGTTCTAGTTCTGTTCTAGTTCTGTTCTAGTTCTGTTCTAGTTCTGTTCTAGTTCTGTTCTAGTTCTGTTCTAGTTCTGTTCTAGTTCTGTTCTAGTTCTGTTCTAGTTCTGTTTTAGTTCTGTTCTAGGTCTGTTCTAGTTCTGTTCTAGGTTAGTCCTAGTTCAGTGGTGGTTCAGTTCTAAGTAGTTTAGTTATAGTTAAGTTAATAGTTTTTTTTTCTTTTTTAAGCTAAATGCAAAAATACGATTGACAATGAAGAATAGTTTTATATAATTTCTTTCACCATTTTTAAATTAATAATATTTAATTTTAAAACTCGATTTTACTACCATAACGAGTGAAATAAACCATTAACTGACATCGATAAAGGGTCCATACTACATATTTATATTGTATCATATATTCGCCACGAGGTATAGGAACAACCTTTAGATTGCTAACGTCAAATGTCAAATTTTTAACAATCAAAATCGTGCTGGAAATTTAAAAAGCAATTAATAAAAAGTAATCTTAAAATAACGAGCAATAACTAAATTACATCGTAGGGACACGAATGATTCATATTTGAAAATTTGCCCAAATTCGTATACAATAAATTCCAGAAAATATGACGTTTGGCATTATTATGAAACTCACAATAATCGATGACATCATCATAGAGAAATGGACGATATTTACTGTTGGCTTTGCGAAAAAGTTTTGCAATAATCTTTAAATATAAAAGAAATATATGATTTTATAGGAAAAGCTATTCAATTCATACTTACCGTTACATTATCAATATTTCTCGCTTTTAATTTCCCATATAAATTTATCGCTACAAACACTCCCTTTAATTTTTATCAATTCACATATGGGAAATTCTATAAAATTTTTATCGGCCGTTTCACAAATAAATTTTGTTATTTGTATATAGGATCGTGAGGGTTTTGTTAAAATTAAATTTATACATTGTGTGCTAATAAGTAATAATAATGCGATAAATTTTAGCAGATGATGCATTGCCAGAATATGTTATTAACAATTAGTATTCGATTTAGTTTTATTCAATTTTTCAATAAATTTATATTTATATATATTTTGATGATGCTATTTGAGGATTTGAAAATCAATTGTATTAAACATTATTTAAATTTGTTTGTAATTAACATTATTCTGGCTTATTCTGATATTTAAAACAATTGATTTTTCTCATTTTAATCATATTACTTTTTAAAAAATATAAGCAACCACTTGGCCTTGTAACTCCCGCAAACACTAATCAAGATTTGTATCTTGTATTCACCACGAGGTAGTGGAGCCAGTTCCATGCCAGGAAAGTCAAATGACATATTTTTAACGTGTATATCACCCTAAAATCGGAAAAAATATGAACTAGAACTGAACTAGAACTAGAACTGAACTAGAACTGAACTAGAACTGAACTAGAACTGAACTAGAACTGAACTAGAACTGAACTAGAACTGAACAAGAACTGAACTAGAACTGAACTAGAACTGAACTGGAACTGAACTTGAACTGAAAGAGAACTGAACTAGAATTGAACTAGAACTGAACTAGAACATAAATAGAACTGAACTGGAACTGAACTAGAACTGAACTAGAACTGAACTAGAACTGAACTAGAACTGAACTAGAACTGAACTAGAACTGAACTAGAACTGAACTAGAACTGAACTAGAACTGAACTAGAACTGAACTAGAACTGAACTAGAACTGAACTAGAACTGAACTAGAACTGAACTAGAACTGAACTAGAACTGAACTAGAACTGAACTAGAACTGAACTAGAACTGAACTAGAACTGAACTAGAACTGAACTAGACTGAACTAGAACTGAACTAGAACTGAACTAGAACTGGAACTAGACTGAACTAGAACTGAACTAGAACGGAACTAAGAACTGAACTAGAACTGAACTAGAACTGAACTAGAACTGAACTAGAACTGAACGACTAACTAGAACTGAACTAGACAGAACTAGAACTAGAACTGAAACTAGAACTGAACTAGAACTGAACTAGAACTGAACTAGAACTGAACTAGAACTGAACTAGAACTGAACTAGAACTGAACTAGAACTGAACTAGAACTGAACTAGAACTGAACTAGAACTGAACTAGAACTGAAACTAGAACTGAACTAGAACTGAATATGAGAACTGAACTAGAACTGAACTAGAACTGAACCTAGAAACTGAACTAGAACTGAACTAGCAACTGAACTAGAACTGGAACTAGAACTGAACTAGGAACTGAAACTAAGAACTGAACTAGGAACGACTAGAACTGAACTATAACTAACTAGAACTGAACTAGAAATGAACTAGAAATGAACTAGAAAACTGGCAACTAGAACTGAACTAGAAACTGAACTAGAACTGAACTAGAAACTGGAACTAGAACTGAACTAGAACTGAACTAAGAACTGAACTAGAACTGAAACTAGAACTGAACTAGAACTGAACTAGAACTGAACTAGAACTGAACTAGAACTGAACTAGAACTGAACTAGAACTGAACTAGAACTGAACTAGAACTGAACTAGAACTGAACTAGAACTGAACTAGAACTGAACTAGAACTGAACTAGAACTGAACTAGAACTGAACTAGAACTGAACTAGAACTGAACTAGAACTGAACTAGAACTAAACTAGAACTGAACTAGAACTGAACTAGAACTAAACTAGTACTGAAGTAGAACTGAACTAGAAATGAACTAGAACTGGACTAGAACTGAACTAGAACTGAACTAGAACTGAACTAGAACTGAACTAGAACTGAACTAGAACTGAACTAGAACTGAACTAGAACTGAACTAGAACTGAACTAGAACTGAACTAGAACTGAACTAGAACTGAACTAGAACTGAACTAGAACTGAACTAGAACTGAACTAGAACTGAACTAGAACTGAACTAGAACTGAACTTGAACTGAACTAGAACTGAACTTGAACTGAACTAGAACTGAACTTGAATTGATTTCAATCAAAACTAGTTCAGTTGAGCTCTATAAATCACAGATCGCAAAACTGATTTACCTCAAGGGGACAGGAGAACTTGATATTCGAATACTTGGCCCAAATACGATACATCTGATTCCAAAATACATTAATTTTATTATTGGTTTGTAGTACACACAAATTGAGTGTGTCGGAATATAAAAATGGTCGATAAACATTTTGATATTTACGATACAAATTAGCATTGATCTATAAAAATTTGCAAAATAGTCCTTTTGAAAAACCGTTATATTTTTTTATTTATTTATCATTCTTACCGTTATATTATCAATTTTACCGGGAGATATCTGAATATACATTTCGAGAACAGTTTTATTATCTTTATTTTTGTACAGCTGACATTTGGTATAGTTTGAAAAACTTATATCCAAAGACGTGCAATTTGCTCCTGTAATCGTAATTGAACGGTATTTGGGAGCTGCTCGAATGGATAGAATATTTTGACACAACATCCAAGTTAGCAACAATAACGGGACCAGATCAACACAAGACATGTTGAAATGAGTACTAATGGATAATTTTCAAATGTGTTCCAGTAATATAAAAGTTTTGGAATTTGTTTTTTAAAAACCAAAGTATTAAGTTATTTTAAATAAATGTGTACAAATAGATAAACTTTTAATTAGAGTATTTAAGCAATTTTATTAATGGTCCGATTATATTGAAAATTTATAGGTTTTTATTTGTAAATATTTTAACATTAGATAGACATGTGTCATTCTATTATACTTATACGAATCATAATTCTTGCCCAAACATTTCAAAAATGTTGTATTTATAAATTTCAAAATAACTGTTAAATTATTTAATATTTATTGTCACTTTCTGTAAACATTATACATATTTCTTATACTTATTATACTTCTAAACACTGAACACCCTTCTAAAGCGAATTATGTTTTTAGAAAATAGGCCATCACTTTGGCTTTATTAGTTTCAGAAAATCCAAGTTTTTAGATGTAACATATAATCAACCGCGCGGTATTGGAGCCATTTTCATTGCCGAAAAGTCAAATGATAAATTTCCACAATAATATCGTGCTAAAATATAAAGCAAGACAATACATTACAACGCGAAAGAACAGAACTAGAACAGAATTAAAACTGAATCAAATCAGAACTAACAAAAGCTTGCACTGAACTAGATCAGAACTAGAACAGAACTTGAAACAGAACTAGAACAGAACCTAGAACAGAACTAGAACAGAACTAGAACAGAACTAGAACAGAACTAGAACCAGAACTAGAACAGAACTAGAACCGAACTAGAACAGAACTAGAACAGAACTAGAACTGAACTAGAACTGAACAAGAGTAACCTAGAACTGAACTACATCGAACGACAACTGAACTACAACTGAACTAGACTGAACTAGAACTGAACTAGAACTGAACTAGAAACTGAACTAGAACTGAAACTAACTGAACTCGCATGCAACTAGAACTGAACTAGAAACTGAACTAGACTGAACTAGAACTGAACTAGAACTGAACTAGAAACTGAACTAGAACTGACTAGAACTGAACTAGAACTGAACTAGAAACTGAAAACTAGAACTGAACTAGAACTGAACTAGAACTGACTACTGAACTAGACTGAACTAGAACTATAACTGAAACTAGTAACTGAACGAGACTGACTAGAACTGAAACTAGAAACTGAACTAGAACGAACTAGAACTGAACTAGAACTACTAGAACTGAACTAGAACTGACTAGAACTGAACTAGAACTAACTAGAACTGACGAAACTGAACTAGAACTGAACTAGAACTGAACTAGAACTGAAACTACTGAACTATGAACTGAACTAGAACTGAACTAGAACTGAACTAGAACTGAACTAAGGAACTGAACTAGAACTGAACTAGAACTGAACTAGAACTGAACTAGAACCTGAACTAGAACACTGAACTAGACTGAACTAGAACCTAGAACTGGTAACTAGAACTGAACTGACTAGAACTGAACTAGAACTGAACTAGAACTGAACTAGAACTGAACTAGAACTGAACTAGAACTGAACTAGAACTGAACTAGAACTGAACTAGAACTGAACTAGAACTGAACTAGAACTGAACTAGAACTGAACTAGATCGAACTAGAACTAGAACTGAACTAGAACTGAACTAGAACTGAACTAGAACTAAACTAGAACTGAACTAGAACTGAACTAGAACTGAACTAGAACTGAACTAGAACTGAACTAGAACTGAACTAGAACTGAACTAGAACTGAACTAGAACTGAACTAGAACTGAACTAGAACTGAACTAGAACTGAACTAGAACTGAACTAGAACTGAACTAGAACTGAACTAGAACTGAACTAGAACTGAACTAGAACTGAACTAGAACTGAACTAGAACTGAACTAGAACTGAACTAGAACTGAACTAGAACTGAACTAGAGAACTAAACTAGAACTGAACTGAATAGAACTGAGTACTGAACTAGAACTGAACTAGAACTGAACTAGAACTGAACTAGAACTAATTTTAATACTTTATACTTTACATCATAAGGACAGGAATGATTGATATTTGAATGTTGAGATAAAACACGGTACAACATATTCCAGAATATATTCACTTTGGGATTAAGTTGAAAGTCACAAAAATTAAATGTATCCGAGTATAAAAATGGGCGATATACATTTCGATATTTGCGAAAAAAATTTGCGCTGACC